ATGGGATTCTAAGGATCAAGCACGACGTCTACATTGGAGGAGTTGGAAGGCAATTTGCCTTCCTACTGATGAGGGAGGCCTCGCCTTTAGGAGATTACGGGATGTGGTGGACACCTTCTCCATGAAGCTCTGGTGGCTGTTCCGATCTCAGAGGTCACTTTGGGCTCAGTTTTTACTGGGCAGGAATCAATGTGACTTGCTATACCACACATGAATGCTTTACTATGTCAAATTCAAATTTTAGCGTTACCAAGTTTACGTTCCAATTTACCGCTTGACCTTATGTGCAAAATTAATACAATTAATTGTAACAAGTCACAAATTAATACTTGTCTAGGTGATTAAACATACACGTCCAATTAAGCCTATGTTGAATTGTAGGTTTGTGTAAAGTAAATAAAATAGTAACAACACCAACTCACAATATGATGATGGAATGACCCCAATGTGGATAAAACTTCGGTACCAAACCAGTAGTTTCCACTATACCAATCCAGCCAATACAAGTTATGTCAAATTCCGTACCAAGTCAGACCCACTGTTCCAGTCTCACGATCTACTGCCGTAGAAACTGCTAGCTTCCCGATCTACCTCCTGCAACCCAATCTGCTATCCAATACATCCTCCCGGTATCTAGCTGATTGTATCATCAAGTGAAATTCCAAGAACCTTCTGTTCTTGTCCAGTTCCTGCGCTTGTCGTCCACCTCTCTCAATCTCCTAATGAGAGAGTCCATTCCTCAACAGATGAAGAAATTCATGTGTTTTTTCTTCACAAATAGTGATGTTTTCCCCAACAGTAGATTACCCGGATCACAAGGTGTTTATAGATGAATTCCTTGTCCAGTTCTGCCTTGGATCACTTGAGAGAATATTGAAGATGATATCTATGTAAAGCAAAATATGGCAATCTCTTTCATGTCCACGGCCTTTGTATTTATAGTTGGGAGCAATTAAGAGTCCTAAGCCATGTCAAACTTTTCAGAAATTGAAAATATGATTTTCCATATAACACCGTCGCTCGAGCGAAAAGCGAGTGACACTTCTTTACTCGAGCGAACATCGAGCGGCGAGCGAGCGACGACCATTTTGCTTCCTCTCACTCAAGCGGTGGCAGGGCGAATAGCTAGCAAACTTTCGACACCGCGACCTTGATTTGAACCAAACACTCAAACCCTAGTCCCTGCCATCCAGCTTGCTAAATTGCACTCTAAGTCCCTAACTTTTATAACATTATACAATTGAGTCCCTGACTTTTACAAATTTATAATTTAGTCCTTTTGTCTACAGAATCGCCAATTACACCTTTAGACCTAACAGAAATGACACCTAACATTTTCATTGATATCATGTCGTTTTGGGTCACGAGCCTTGATTTCACTCTAAAACGAATCGATAAGACTTGGAACATTTTAGACGACTTACACAAGTTAAACAAGCCATCTTGTTGAATATCTTATCTCATAATTAGAATATAATGGAATTTACTTACTTTCATTCATAATTAAATCTAATACAATTTACTCATAGAACGATAGTGTTGGTCATTATCGCGTGAATTTTATGCCGATACTCGGGACAAATATAATGAAAACTTCCATTAGTTCATTTTCATGTGCATACAAATGAAAATAAAGTGAAGCGGATACGAAATTAGTAGAAACGACACCCAATCATTTATAACAGCATCATGACATTTTGAATTATAGGGTCTTGATTTCACTCCAAAATGAATTGATCATGTCTTGGAACATCATATAAGACTTACACAATTTAAACAAGCTAATTTGTGGAGTATTTTATCTCATAATTGGAATTTAAATTATTTAACCTTTTAAAGACATCATTTTTTTGGATGACGGGGCCTTAATATACTATAAAACGAGTTGATCAGACTTGGAACATCTTAAAAGACTTGTACAAGTTAAACGAGGCAATTTATTGAATATCTTATCTCATAATTAGAATATAATCGAAAGTATACCATACTTGCAACTTATATTTTTCTTTATTGTCAAATGTAGTGCAGTATAGTTTCTAACCGATTATAGAGTGACTCGCTATAGTTTGAACCAATGTGTCGATAAAATGTAGTTAAAACTTTCATCCCTAAACTTTCAAGTGGGTACGGGCGTGAATAAACCAATACGAACACGAAATGAGTAGAAACGTCACTCATACGTTTAAAATGACCATATGCCTTTTTGAGTCACGAGGTATCGATTTCACTCCGAAACTAGTAAAACAATGTTTGAAGTATCATACATGACTTGTACACATTGAACGACTGCACGTACTATGTGTTGCATACCACACTTGTTACTTACGTTTTTCTTTATTATCAAGTATCATATAATGTAGTCTCCAACCAGATTATAGAGTGACTTGCTATAGTTTGAATCAATGTGTTAATGGTAACGTTGAAATGTAGTTGAAATTTTCATCATTAAATTTACTATACCACACGGGAATCAATGTGACTTGCTATACCACACATGAATGCTTTACTATGTCAAATTCAAATTTTAGCGTTACCAAGTTTACGTTCCAATTTACCGCTTGACCTTATGTGCAAAATTAATACAATTAATTGTAACAAGTCACAAATTAATACTTGTCTAGGTGATTAAACATACACGTCCAATTAAGCCTATGTTGAATTGTAGGTTTGTGTAAAGTAAATAAAATAGTAACAACACCAACTCACAATATGATGATGGAAAGACCCCAATGTGGATAAAACTTCGGTACCAAACCAGTAGTTTCCACTATACCAATCCAGCCAATACAAGTTATGTCAAACTCCGTACCAAGTCAGACCCACTGTTCCAGTCTCACGATCTACTGCTGTAGAAACTGCTAGCTTCCCGATCTACCTCCTGCAACCCAATCTGCTATCCAATACATCCTCCCGGTATATAGCTGATTGTATCACCAAGTGAAATTCCAAGAACCTTCTGTTCTTGTCCAGTTCCTGCGCTTGTCGTCCACCTCTCTCAATCTCCTAATGAGAGAGTCCATTCCTCAACAGATGAAGAAATCCATGTGTTTTTTCTTCACAAATAGTGATGTTTTCCCCAACAGTAGATTACCCGGATCACAAGGTATTTATAGATGAATTCCTTGTCCAGTTCTGCCTTGGATCACTTGAGAGAATATTGAAGATGATATCTATGTAAAGCAAAATATGGCAATCTCTTTCATGTCCACGGCCTTTGTATTTATAGTTGGGAGCAATTAAGAGTCCTAAGCCATGTCAAACTTTTCAGAAATTGAAAATATGATTTTCCATATAACACCGTCGCTCGAGCGAAAAGCGAGTGACACTTCTTTACTCGAGCGAACATCGAGCGGCGAGCGAGCGACGACCATTTTGCTTCCTCTCACTCAAGCGGTGGCAGGGCGAATAGCTAGCAAACTTTCGACACCGTGACCTTGATTTGAACCAAACACTCAAACCCTAGTCCCTGCCATCCAGCTTGCTAAATTGCACTCTAAGTCCCTAACTTTTATAACATTATACAATTGAGTCCCTGACTTTTACAAATTTATAATTTAGTCCTTTTGTCTACAGAATCGCCAATTACACCTTTAGACCTAACAGAAATGACACCTAACCTTTTCATTGATATCATGTCGTTTTGGGTCACGAGCCTTGATTTCACTCTAAAACGAATCGATAAGACTTGGAACATTTTAGACGACTTACACAAGTTAAACAAGCCATCTTGTTGAATATCTTATCTCATAATTAGAATATAATGGAATTTACTTACTTTCATTCATAATTAAATCTAATACAATTTACTCATAGAACGATAGTGTTGGTCATTATCGCGTGAATTTTATGCCGATACTCGGGACAAATATAATGAAAACTTCCATTAGTTCATTTTCATGTGCATACAAATGAAAATAAAGTGAAGCGGATACGAAATTAGTAGAAACGACACCCAATCATTTATAACAGCATCATGACATTTTGAATTATAGGGTCTTGATTTCACTCCAAAATGAATTGATCATGTCTTGGAACATCATATAAGACTTACACAATTTAAACAAGCTAATTTGTGGAGTATTTTATCTCATAATTGGAATTTAAATTATTTAACCTTTTAAAGACATCATTTTTTTGGATGACGGGGCCTTAATATACTATAAAACGAGTTGATCAGACTTGGAACATCTTAAAAGACTTGTACAAGTTAAACGAGGCAATTTATTGAATATCTTATCTCATAATTAGAATATAATCGAAATTAACTTACTTATATTTGTAATTATATCTAATTCAGTTTATTCACGAAACAATAATATTGATCATTATCCTGTGAACTTTAAATCGTTACTCGGGTCCAAATGTAATGAAAACTTCCACTTGTCCATTGTCATATGCATACGAGTAAAAATAAAGTGAAGCAGATATAAAATTAGTTAAAACGACATCCAATCATTTAAAACGGCAGCATGACATTTTGAATTATGGGATCTCGATTTCACTATAAATTAGTGAAAATTTGTTTAATTTAGTTAAAACGTCATCAAATGGTTTATAATGACAGCATGTCATTTTAGATCATAGACACTCAATAGCACTCGAAATATAGTTAAAACTTGTTTTAATTAATTTTTATGTAGATACAAAGTGATACAAACATGAAATTAGTTAAAACGGCATTCAATCGTTTAAAATGCAGTATGCCATTTTTCTCGTTGCTTTTAAATTGTGTACGAAAAGTTAGAATGAAAATGAGCATTTAAGTTTGGGGGATTTGGTAAATTTTTGTTTCAGATTGGATATTTTAGATATTTTAAATGAAGGGTGTTTAAGACTTTTAACACATGATAAAATAGACTAAAGGCTAATTAACCAAAAATTATTGACCATAGCCTATTTTACTAAACATTATTGTTGACTAGGCTTTTTAAACAAATCCCCCAAATTCCTTCCCTGTTGGAAGTATCATTGTGCAAACCATCAAATAAAGGGCACTGTGAACTCGTGCACACAAAAATACTTTGAATACATCTAGATAACGCAATACTCAATTTCGTTCAAATACAGAGATATAGAAGATGATGATGGATTTGAAAAGAAACCTAATTACAAAGCTCACGAGCAATACCCAAGCGATAATTTACAGTGTCGAACAAGATCCTCAGGTTTTGCTGCTGGAAATTGGCTATAATATTTAACACAGAGTTCACATTATTTGGTGCAGCTGCCATAGCCAAGCAAGCCAAAGAACCTGAACTACTGTGTATCAAACTGTTCTCCATTGGCAGCACCAAATCCATTCCTGTAAAATGGAGAACTACAGGTGGAGCTATATCTTCATTTGTGGCCAAAAAGCAGGTATCGAATGCCCCAAGTGAGCTAAATGGCCCTTTCACCTGTTTTCTGAACTCATCCCGAATTGCATTGTATACGGGTTGAACAAAACGGGTTATAACCGTGCCCGAATCTATGATGGTACCTGCTCCTGTGTTTGGGTCAAATGCTAGGGGTTCTTGGGCTATGGGGACCTGGACCTTGCCGATACTTACTCCGGTGAGGTTCACGTAGTATAGGGATGGACGATGCGGGTTTTTGAGAAGTGGGGTGGTTCTGATGTTCTTGGGTTGACCCAAGGGTCCGAGTTTGAGCGAACCTGAGAAGTAATAGGACTTGAAGCTTGGTAAACAGTAGGAGAATACACCTGAATAAAGGGACCCGGATTGTGAGAGTAATGACATGGAGCCCCGACCCATGCCCAATAACCCCTGGGGCGGTACTGACCCTCCGGAAACCGAATTGATGCATCCAAAAGCGTAATTCGGAATGGCATCATTGGCTAGCCAGAGTGTGTCATGGGACAGAATGGCGGAGAAAGAGGAGTCGCCGCCGTAGGACTGGTTGAACGAGCATGAAGTGGCAGCGTCAGTGGCCGGGCAGGAGACACCGCTTACTTTGGTGCATTCGGGGACTGAGCAGTCTAAAGACGAGTAAGTGGAGGAGGCCTTTGGTGTGAACACGGCCGAGGAGGCAGCGCAACCGGTGCAGCCACTGCATGGAACCCATGCAGCATCACTGCTTGTATCCAACACCATGAACAAGAGCTGACCCGGATTCCCAATCTTCGCCCGGAGAACATAGTTTCCGATGTTCAGCACCTGCTTACCAGGGGCAATTGGAACAACACTTGCACCTTTTCGGGTGGCCTGCGGTGGTGCCGCCACAAGGCTGGATAAATAGGAAACTCTTTCAGGATCTTTAGAGGCCATTTTCATGACTGTGTTTAGCAATGAAGAGGCAGGTTTTGGAGGGTTAAAGGGTGAGCATTTACCATAAATGGGGATTACAGAAAGGTCTGAAGAATCAGCACATGGATCAAAAGCCAATGCTGTGGAAAGAAGAGAACTGAGCAGGATTGCAACAATGGCTAACTCCATTGATATTATTTTACTCAACCAGAGTCCAGTGAAGTGTGTGTCGAGGATAATAGAGAAATTTATAGGAAGTTGGAGGAAGTGAGTGATAAAAGTGTCATTTTTGGCATGCATGCACGTGAATGAGAGTGAAAGCTTCGAAAATATAATTTAGTTGAATAAAAAATTACTTTTTCAGATAAATGTTCTTAAATGACAGCATAATTGCAGGAAAATGTTATCCCTTCCAAAACTAGAATGCGTATAAAAACTTGGACGACACAACATACGTTGTCAACAATTATCAATTGGTAATGAGAGACGCACGTGCCTTGTTTCATTCACCCATTCATAGTGTCAAAAGGGAAACCCCCATGCAACATTTATAGCAGTTTGTGCTCAAATATGATTCAAATCATATGATTAAGAAAACGAGGACTCTATATGAACTAGACAATAAATATCGAGATGGTAAGAGTGTCTTGAAACCCAGAACTCAAAACACCTAAAACATAATTTTAACATAATAAAGCCACACACAGTGACAGATCGTATATGTATTATTAGAAGAATTATTGTTTAATCTTTAAATTATGAACAAGTGGATGTGAAGATTTTTTAGTGTGTTGTGAATAGATTGGATAAATAATATCAAGAATTCTTGGCTGACAGTTTGCAAGCAAGTGGTTCCAAAAATGCTGTCGGTCACGGACTCACGGACGGATTTTCTAATTCACGAGCAATTATCGAACTTCTTTTTCATTTTTGTCTTTAATGAATCAGCAATTCTTTGTCTCATATAATTTCTTGTTTATATATGGTAATTTCGTGCTGTTAAGCCAGAAGAGAGTCTGGTATGCTACTACTGGATGGTTTCACACTGCACAATGAAGAAAGAACTATCAGCATTAGACTTGAGTACTTTAGTTGATAGTCCCAAAATGGTAGAAGAAACGTGCCTCAGTAAGTCAATTAGAAATATAAGTAAATGTTTAGCTTCATTGCGGAGACTAGTTTATTTTTAGTGACCTGTGTCGAGACTGACTGAGTTCGTTTGATGCTCTCAGCGAGGGACTTTTATTTGATTTGTTATCACCGGTAGACCGTGGGTCATAGTGGTGCTGTAAAGTCCATTAATTCACTCACTCCAACAAAAATCAACGATCACCCAAAAAAATCAACTTTATTTCTAATCAAGTTAAAGTAGATGCATGAATTATTTTCGATTATCTTATTAATCCATTGCTAATTGAAATATCTAGGGTTATTGATCTAATTCACTGAACTTTGCATAAAGTTTTCACTAAAATTTAAAAAGTTTCCCATTAATCAATGAACTTTTGTAATATATAATCTCATCCGTTGCTCAATCAACGATCGTTCGAAAAAGCAATGGAATTGATAATGTGGCAAATGGAGTCCTGTGGCATAATATTACAATTAGTGGATGCCAAATCATGAAGTTGTTGTTGACACGAAGTATTGTTTTAAAACAAGTTTTTTACACCATTTAAAAAAGAAAATAATCGCAAGCATTTGAAATTTCGCAATTATAGAGAGTGACGTCTGTGTTTTGTTTGTTATATTCCGCAAGTGTATGAATCATAACAAGTAATATATTGGACTAATAAATCAAGATATCGTTCCCACTACTATCTACCATTGGTTAAATTATTCCAAACTTTAATTTGATTGAAAACAAATAATAAGGTTTGTGATTAGTGTTTAAATTATTCTAACTAAATAAAAGTCACACACAATTTATCAAATTTGGGTTTTAAAAGTATGACAGTGGATGCTAAGACTTACAATTTTATCTATGGATCCCCTTTAATTTTCCAATCAATATTTATTACTATTGCAGCATTAGGTCAAATTTTTCCAAAGTATTCAATTTACCCCTCTCGATTTCTTATTGAGTCTATTTAATTAATTCAATCTCATCTCTATGTGAATCAGTCTTAATTAAGCGTATTATTTGTTCTAAGAATTCATATAATAACTGCAACAATTAAGATATGTATCTCTACACGTTATACTAAATTACCAGATTTTAATATGTGGTCTAAATCTAAAACTCACCTCTCAATTCGTAATAGATTCACAAAGTCATTAAATTATCGATTAAGTAATTCAAAGCATTAAATACATAATTAAAAACAACACATATATATAATGAAGGAACTTTAATCTTGAATAAAAGAAATAAAAAATCACACATAAATTACATTATTCAGTATCCGACTAAGGCGATTCAAAGTGCACTAGAAAAGATAACTCAAAGCACTACAAATTACTAGACATGTCTTTTTTTCCAATTCAAACATTTACTACGTTAAAAATGGGCATTCTCGAATCTTCATCCTGATGTCCAAACTTTGAATCTTGCTCTTTTTCACCAATTTTCACTTCTTTCTTTCAATTCCACTTCCATTCATCAAATTTCACCTAATAAACAAAATAAACAATAAAAGAGGCTTAATTGTTCAAAAGAACTATTAAATATCTATATTTTTTGAAGTTCAAATAAAATAAATTTATCAGCCTGTGTGGTGGTTGGTTTTTGATGATGAATTCGTAATAACAATTGAATTAGGAAGAAACCTAAACAATTTTGGAGATTTTGCTAAGTTGGAAAAAAATTGGAAAAAAAAAACAATTTTGTGGAGGCGGGAGAAAAAGATGGATATAGATGAGGAGATTCAGGTTTTGGGGGAGGCGATTTTCGGAAACAATGGAAGACGGCCTCTATTTTCCCCATAGTGTTTGGGGTGATTTTGCAGGGGGAGAAAGGCATGTTATCACGCGTTTTCTACAACGTGAAATCGTCGCAAGTATACGGTATCAAATTTTGTAATATTAGAAGTAGAGTGTCAAACCCATAAGGATCGATATTTGATTCCTACCAATTACCATGATTATTTTAGCTTTTACTTTATCTAGAAAATTAAATTTAAAATCGATATTTTTATATTAATCTAACGTGGATGTGATGACAGTTCAAGAAAGTTAAAGCATTTATAAGAGATTTGTCAACGTAAGAAAGCATAGGGAATGATTTTACTACCCTATCAACAATGTTTTTCGACTTCGATACTTTGATTTCAATGGACCTTTCTCTAAGATACTTTAATTCCAGTATCTATTCCGAATCAAGCATATAGAAATTATCAAGTACGTGGTTATTAAGTGAAATAAGCCTCAAAGATTTCATATTTTTCTCTCAAAACATACAAAATCTAAGTTTTGTTATTCTTAGATCACACCTAAACCTCCTTCTCTCGAATGCCAAAATTAAGAACATCTAATTATTCAATTATTGATCAGGTAATTGTAAGTAATGCGCAAGAATAAACACAAATAAATTAATGGAAAGATCAAAAGATGAGGCGTGACAATGCTCCATAATTGATTGTGTTTCCTCCATCAAGACTCAGCTCCTGGTTATCATATCAGCACAATTCTTGAAGAATAGTAGATCATCCCATAAATATGACTTGACACCATGCAAGAATTTCTTCTATTAATGAGAAGTCAATTCAGGCGACATCTTTCCACAAGCCAAGTAGTTAACAAAATCAGCATACCATGGAATCCTTGATGAAACCACTAAAAGAAGCTCGTAAAAAAGTTGTTTGAATCTTACTGTTATCTATTACTTTTTCATTTTCTAACCGTGAGAAATGATCAAAAATTACATCGCCACTAAACATGTCTCACCTACAACCTCCTTCCCATTTACATATGTTACAGAATCCCCATTTACCTTGTCCTCCACCCCAAATACAACCACATAATATGCCTTCAATTGCCTCCCGGGCATAGCCCAATGGTGCAAAGGACGGAGGTGAGGTTATCTCACGTCTTGCTGACAGCCACAGTGTGGGGGTTCTATTCCTGAGACATGAAATTGGACTCCTTGTAGGCGTAGCGTACAGGCAGCTCTTGTTCTCTGGCCTGATGGGGCACATTCCGCGATTTACCTCCCTCACAAAGCTATAGGGGGTGCAAGGATCTCTGTCCGTCCCATCAATGCCAATGCCCGGTCCTATGGTAATAATAGGCAGTTACTGCTTTGCCGATCTTTTATATTTGAACTTCACCAAATTGTGATATTTAACAGTTTCCTCTCTATGAGTGCATGTTCACATGCACAAATGGGAATACTCCTGCATGTATATTAATATTGCTTTAGGTTTTCTGTTTGCTTCTTAGTGTTCTGCTTAGGATCTTTAGAAATCATAAATTTGCCAACTGAGACAAGCTGAGATTATATGGTGGCAAGAACTATTCTTATACTCAACATCCGACACAATGCTCATATTGGAGTCT